GATGTGAGAGTCAAAACTAAATGTCAGTTCAACGTACGTTCTTGACCCGAAACAACCTTAATCTTGGTATTGGTACATTCAAGTATCAAGAAAATTAGCAGCTGTATATTTATTTACTACCTACTGTCAAGTTTATAATGCTGTCATAAATGTCGCCACTTTCTTCATAGAAAGATTTTCTCATAAGACCTTTTTATTGAAAGTTATTAGTTCCAATTTTGTTCACGCGAAGAGATAAAGTGGTACATTTGTATTGTCGTATAACTGTCAAAATTCATGTATTTCGAGGTCATACAATACGTGAAAAGTGAATTCAACTTTCATGTTGAATATTTTCATCGTTTTGTTTTTAGTTGGTAATAGTTTTCTAACACGATTAAAGCTTCTTTATATGCGACCTTTATCAAAAATATCTATAAAACACATATTATAACAAATTATTATTGACGCTGAAAAAAATAAAAAATGGCTAAATCGTGTACGATCGCTCGAGCAATAAGGCTAGATGGTGAAATTAAACGTTATGGCTATTGGAATCACCAAACCATTTGTAATCCATTTTAGCTTCTTCACTTTATTCTTAAAAAGTCGAAAGAAGAATTGAAAGCAGCTCTCGACTCTTACTGACTTTAGCCTAGCAGGAAAAGTAACGGGGGCGTTCTGTCTGATTCTTCTCCTGCTTTAGGCTAAGGCTGCGAATACCTTATTGCTGCGCTAGCCCCGCAAGCCCTGTGCTACGGTCACAGCATTTAGCTAAGCACTTTTGTTGACAGTTTTGCGCTGTAAGTAATGAGTTTTTTTTGTTATAATCTTTTTTGTTTGTATTTGTTTTATTACTTTCATATTTTATGGAAAATTACTAAGTACTATTATGATTTAATATGAGTATAAAATTTCCTGACGAATAAATCTAACAATTTATAACACATTGAAATTATTGACTAAGACGAAGTAATGCGACGTTACTTATCATATTATGTTATGGTCAATAAATTTGAAGTGCTAATGTTTTATTTCACTTAAAATATAATTCCTAGTAAAATATTATAATGTTCCGTATGATAACTATTGGAATGATTTTAATGCTTGCATTAATGATGATGACACATTTATTTGTCTCGATTTATGTTCTACTTTGTATCATCTATTTGTCGTTCTTACCTATATATATATATGTATATTTCGTCGTGTGAGATTACCGGAGACCCAGTTCACATTGGCTACTCAGTACCTAGCCATCTGTCACGCTAGAGCCTTATAGTAATAATAGTTTTATAGACTTAAAATCTTATAGCATTCGTCTATAAATAGACTAAATACACAAAATATATTATTCATTACGAACCAGTAGTTCCTTAGATTAGCGCGTTCAAAACAACAAAGTTAAACAAACTCTTATAGTATAGTTTTATTATAATTAAAATAAAAGATTAGGGATTTCATTAGTAACAGCAATTTTATTTGCGTAACATCTTTTTACGATTTTCAAATTCGTCCAATTGCTGATGTTTCTGTGAGTGCCTTCTATGGCAAGTTAGTAATAAATATACGTTTCAATCGATGATGGAAGTTCAACATAACAATGCTTACATGTAAGTTATGTTTTTTTTTTTTTATTTAATAGGTCGGCAAACGAGCAGACGGATTACCTGATGGTAAGCAATCAGCGCCGCCCATGGACACTCGCAACGGAGGAGTTACGAGTGCGTTGTCGACCTTTTAGGGATTAGGGATTTGAAGATTTAGGGATTTAGGAGGGATTGGGGAAGGATTTGGATGTTAAATTAAAATTATGTACATTAGAAATTTTATAAGTAAGTAAACCTGTTTTTATGTATTGTGTGAATTCTGGGAAGAGAATACATGATTTTATGCAAAGGTTTCCTGTGAAATCACCGCAAAGGTTTTATTACTGTAAAACATCAACGTGTCAATTAATTTAGTGTAACCCTTCACTACAACGGTTACCAAACATTCTTTTTTCCGCATCTTGAGTTTTTATACTATAAATCCTTGTCAAGTATTACTCGACACATTCGTATGTTTTTATGACCGTATGGGCTATAAAAACACACTGGAGAGTGCCAAGTGGGCCAGCCTTAAGTACTTATTGCACTATATTGGTCCATTCTGTGGTTGATTTTATTTACTTGCAACATTTTCATGAATACCAATAATTCCGTTAGTTTAATAAGTAGGTACTAGTACAAATACCGTTAGAGCAATGACATTTAAGTACCGTATCTATTGACTTTTTCTTAATTTAAAAATTCAATGTACCTACCTATTTTTTTACCTCTCTCAGACACTACGGAAATGTTAATTTACTGTTTTTCTTATAACAGTTATCAATTGTTTTTAAATTTCGAAGTGCATGTCCAAATCAAACGGGATTCGCATATTCTGTTTTTAAAATTTAGTTTTAAATGTGAAATAAATTTTAGGTTTCAAATTTAAGTAGGTTACATTATAGGTATAATAATGGTCGGTGTTTTTATTAAAATAATCGTCTTGAAGAAGATAAAAGCGCAAATGTTACTATTATGATTTATGTTTTAGTACATTAGGGTCATTACAAGAAGTCAAGGTCATGTTGATTCATAAAAGTAACACAAACTATCAATTGGTTAAAAAGTATTGTGTAACAAAAAGTTTAAGTAGGTGCGAACAACTTTATTCTATTTTGGGATTGTGATATGATGTTTGATTATGTCATTAGAAATCATTTGCAACTTTTCTACTTAAAGAGCCAAATCTTAAAAAAAACAACATTAACATTTGCAAGTAAACATTGTTAAAGGTCCGTAATTCATTTGAGAAAGTATTAAATACTACATTGCGAACTTTCAATTTTTTATTGTTTTGTTTATAGAAAAGAACAGAGATGAAATTAAATACCTACGTGTAATACTTTCGCTAGCTTCTTGGAATATTCGGATTTCTTCTAACTTGTAATGTTTAACTTGAGGTATACATATACCTACATATGTTTACTTACGAATTACGTAGGTATGTATATAAATAGATAGAGTAAAAGAATAAGTAGTATTCAAAAAAGCATATTACACAGATAAGCAGGATCTCTCCTTTTCTTTGTCACTTATTAAAATGGACCCCTTACTCAGTACGTGAATTCAATTTACACCTTTATTCGTCATTCAACAATAAAAATTAGCAATATATTTTAGTACGGTATCTGACAGATCGGAAGGATTAGCAAACTGAAGTGGCGTAGATGTGTTCTAAACTGGAGACCACGTCTAGGCAATAGTAGTATAGGGCGCCCTCAAGCTGACTGACGATATCCGCAAGGTTGCTGGCAGTGGTTGGATGAGAAGAGCCGAACATCGAGCTCAGTGGCGTGCAATTGGGGAGGCCTATGTCTAGCATTGGACGAAATCAGGCTGATGATGATGATGATTCTAGTACATAAGACAATTTTATAAATTGATTAAGATTTTTTTCCCTACTAACGTCAGTTTGACCACCGTCATTGCATACATGTACATATACATGTGTATTAGAATTATGCATGTACATATATCTTTGATCAATTACTAATCTTGGGAAAAGCCGACATATAAGTACGTCATACTAAATGACTAATGGATGTCGCCGATTTTTCACTATCAGATGATCTGTCAGTTTGTTTTCCAACATAACACAAACATAAACAAAAATAAAAAAATCCTGCCGTACATTTATTTCAGTATAAACAAAAGCTTCACAATGAAACAGTATTTATAGATTCAGGAAAGATCTTTCCTTCACGCCATTTTCGAATGTAAATGAATGTATTTTAAAAACCATTTTCCTTTTATTGCATAATGAAATGCAATAAACGACAATGAACCCAAAACACGGATATTAAACTGCGACTAAAAATAAATAAATAATGATGAATTCATTTATTAAATTGATTGTTCAAAACTTAAAATAGAATTTGCGTATAAAGAGATATTTAATTGAGTATTTTTTTTTATTTATCTCTTAATGTAATAAGGTTTTAAAAATATTTCTGTTGGTTCATGTTTATGTCAGCCAGTAAGGGCTCTGTGGAAGCCTCTTTTCACATGGAGAAGGTTTGAGAAATAATATTTTCCTCCATCGGCATCGTACGTCGTTGTTGTCTAAATAAACCTAGAAACAAAGAGGATGTAACCACAGAAACCAAATATAACCAGGGAAATGTCACATTTGTACTTGTCAGGTAGCGCCTTTACCCTTAAGTTCATGCCTTAAGTGCCTTAAGTACAGAAAACTTTGCCAAGGCTTTACTATTTCGTTCAAAAAATGTTACATTTTTAAGCGCAGCTGCAATGATGATAATCTGGTTAATTAATTAACCGACTTCAAAAAAGGAGGAGGTTCTCAATTCGACGCGTAGCTTTTTTTTATGTATGTACACCAATTACTCGAAGACGCCTAGACCGATTTGCAAAATTCTTTTTTGATTCGATAGGGTATACTTGCCATTTGGTCCCATTGTCATGAGGTCAGGATCTGATGATGAAATCCTGGAGAAACCGAGGGGAATTTTCGAAAATTGTAGGGGCGAGTAGCTTTTTGTATGATGTTTAAGTAGGCCTTTAAGAACACTACAACTTGACGAAGGTCGAAGTCGACCAGATGTTGGAGCTGGAAGACAGTCGAGGGATCCCCTTGACTATTTGGAGTAGTCGCAAGTTTTCTCGTACTTGGTTGTTAAAAGTAGTAGTAGGTAGCTGCGTTGTTAGTTGTGGAAATTTCGTCTTTTAGCAGGTAAACAGTCATAATTCTCATTTAGTTTTATTCTGTTTAGGGCTTGGCACCGACTTCAAACCTATGAATATGTAGCACATAGAATTGATAGTGTTTTATGATTAATATTAAAAGTATTAGCTTCGCGTACGTAGGAGTAGTATTAAAATATCAATTTTAATTATTTATTTGGTCTTTCGGTTTTTTTAAACGTAGTTTTTTTTAAATACATTTTTGACGGATGTTTTTCTTTGTTTCAGCTGATCCAAAATGGATTTGGAGTTTCGAAATCTGACGTATACGGTGCAGAGTCGCCTACCAAAAGGTAAGTCACATTTTTGATCATTAATAAAATAAACTACTCATTATTGTCAGACGTGTGACTAAGAACAGTCTGAATAAATACGGATATTAAATGGAAATAAAATAAAATTGTCTAAATGTATAATAAAGTTGTTAAAAAGCATTTTGTATAATGGTTAAGAAAAAATAATAATGAAACAAAACTTTTAACATTATATATGAATAATAAAAACACATGTTATTTATTATAAATCAGATTTGGTGACACATTGACCATAAGCCTTTTGATAGGTAGGTACCTAAATCTGTTCTAGAACGTTGAGAAGGAATAAAAAACCCAATACTCTTATTGTGAACTCGTTATGTCCATATATTTTTTTTATTGTAAGTTAAACGTTCCGTGGAATCAGTAACATTAACAAACAAATGCCGTAAAAATAAAGAAATAATTTATTTATATCTAAGGATGAAACCACAAGTTTGTTTTAAGCAAGCCAAACAATTTTAATGAATTCGTATTTAAAAGGTTTTAACACAAGAATAAAGAGATTTAGGTACTTAGTGTTTTGTAATAGGGTATAGATTTGTTGCTTTAATTTTATATTGGTTTAATCAATGAAATCAATCTGTACTGTGTAAGGCACAAACTAATAGGATCTTAAAAATTGAGTTGCTATTAATGTATGGTTCCTAATTTCCTAGTCCGTCAAAAAAGTAAAAGGAGGCTTTATTTAACAATAATTATTTGCGGACCAAAAATACTTGAAAAAACACAAGCTTTTTGCAAGAGAAAACTCCATTGGAGTATTTATTTATTATGAGTATTTCCTTCGTTTAATGTGAGGTTTTTATCACATTTAAGCCGTCAAGTTTGGTAAGTGGATTAGTTTATATTTGTTGGCATAATTATGTGCAAATAGGCAAATGGTTTGTTTGGTGGTACACAGTCACAAACCCCGACTTTTGTTTACATTCACTCGAAACACCAGTGGTAGCGCACGTGCGATAACATCATACTTATAGCAAAAGTTGAATTATGAGTTTTTGGACAAATGTTTGCTTACTTATATTTTTTTGTGAAAATTACTCACACAGGTGTAAATATACTGACTGACGAGCTGTCGTTTGGCAGAATGTTATATTACTTATTATCTATACTATAATATTATAAAGAGGTAAAATTAATAAGTTTGTATGTAGGGGGTAACCTTTGGCATCGCTGATCGGATTGCCAAAATCCACTGATAGATATCTACAATGTTCCTGGCTGCTAGAGGCTATTAAACATCACGCTACGATCAAATGGAGCCGAGCAGCGGCTGAAACCGTGCAAGAATAGCTAGTATGTATTATATTACTTTATCATTAAAACGACAAAAAAAATGCAGTTATTTAAATAGATAACTCCCTAACAATATAAGTATAGACTACATACATATGAATGAATTTTTTCCCACCTGTAAAATGAAAGTTTAAATCTATGCCACCTTTTCTTGTCAGCTATTGTTATTGTACAATGGATGAATGTAGGTAAGAGTTCACAATAAGTCAGTAACGGTATGTATTTTAAGGGTCTAAACTGCGAAAGATTTTTGTCACCACAAATTTTGGGTCAGAATAAATTACCCACTCATGTTATTCAGTGGCACTTTGAATGTGCGACATATAGTAATCCCTTTCTCCGTTCCTTCCAAATCTTTAAATCTTAAATCCTCAAATTCTTTTTTACCTTCAATTATATTATGAGGAATACATACTTACTGCTCTATGCCTTATCCCAAACATAGAAATCGCTTTCGCTGTATGCATATATGTTTAAATTTTCCTTTCTACTAGGCAACGGATCTTGATGCACTTTTTTTTTAATAGGTAGATAGAGTGATTCAATAGGGAGATCTATATCGATATTAACATCCATTAAGTAAGTAGTGGAAAAAATTGCTTCAAAATTGCAACCGCGCGAAGTCGGGGCGGTCGCTAGTTACATTATAATTTGCACAAATATTTTAACGCTGCTAAACTTGTCGTGTTTAACCATCAAACGAACCGTTCAATTTAACTGTGTGGTGGAAAAAAAAAATCTTCAATTAATGTGTGCATTTAGTAACTTGGCTTATAGTGTGCAAATGGCGTTCAGACTTCCTTAACCTTTTTGTGACATTGAGATCGCCTAGTTCAGATATAAAACCCGAATCGAAGCTTCCGAAAACACAAAAAAAGTAACTGGCCGCCAATATTAAAAAAATATTGGCAGTTTACTTAATAAAAAAAGTATATAATAGTACCTATTATATTTAAATGTCATTGACATAGTTTTTTATCAACATTGTTTATTTCCAACGTTTTGCTGAAAAAAGGTGAACATCTGCGGTTTTCTGCTAAGTACCTATTACGTCGGATTTAGTGTGAATGTCGTATTTTTATTTCAAACGTAAATTATAGTGAGGTAGGTCAGTACGATAGACAATTTTGAACATTAGGTATAGAAATATGATAAGCTGATTTGGTTAACAGAACATTTGCTTGAAAGGGGTTACTACCTTTTTAATGTTATTTCTGCATATTATTTTTTTAAAACGTTCCCCACACTACTTTTGGCTACACGATTGGTGCGGGTGGTGGTTGGGCAACTGGCTGCCGTGCAACGTGTTGCGGGTTCGATTCCCGCACGGAACAACTATTTGTGTGATTCTCAAAGTGTCGTTCCGGGTGGCTTGTGTATGTGAAGCTGTATGTTTGTAACCGCACCCACGACACAGGAGAAAATCCTAGTGTAGTACACATTTTCATTAAAAAAAACTATATTTTTTTCCTTTGTCGTGAATCGTTTACAAACATACAATTTCACATACACATCAAACCCAGACCCGGAACAAAAATTTGTAGATCACACAAAGAGTTCCGTGAAGGAAACGAACCCGCGATATATTGCGCGGCAGCCAGTTACCCAGCCACCGACACCGCACCAACCGTGCAGTCAAATTAACCTTTCCTTTTTGGTGTTCAGCGTGATTTTTTAGTTATCTAGCTATTGTTCATTGTTTGATTGACACTAAGTCTAGGCCAGATTTGCATTAGTATTTCTTGATAGTAATCAGAGATCTAGGGTTCCTTTTAAGATAATGTGCCTAGGCTAAGTGGGTAACTATGCTAGTCTTAGTGCTTCTTATTTGGCAGAAAAATCTAGACTTGCATTTTTATAAAGACTAACAATAGTTACCTATCTGATTGACATACTTAATTATTAGTAACAATGAAATGATAAATAATTAATCAAAGTTTACCTTTTAAGAATACTTTTGAACCTAAATAACTTATCATACAGCTTTGATGTCGAATTTTATTTATTTTTTATGAGTAATGGGTATTCAATTACTATAATCCGAGTTTAATACTTGATGTTTTGCAGCTTTGGGGCTTTCACGACCAACTTAAGTAAATTACAATCGATTTTCGAACCACTTTTTTCAGAATAAGTGGTTTTAAGTGTGGGAGAAACAAGCTTCGGCGCGAATGGGTCGGCTCGACCGGAGTGATACCACGGCCTCACAGAAAACGGCGTGAAACAACCACAGCGTTGTGTTTCGCCGTGTGGCTGGGGTTACTGGAGGCCCAATCCCTTCCCAATCCTTAAATATCCTAAACCTTTTTCCCTAAAAGGCCGGTAACGCACTCGACAACAACTCCTTTATGTTGGACACCCATCCATGGGCGGCGCTGATTGCTTACCATCAGGCAATCCGTCGGCTCGTTTACCGACCTATACCATAAAAAAAGTCTAGTAGGTGCGTATTTCCTCGAAAAACAATTCCAAGAGTTATAGTTAATACGACACAGACAGAAAAATAACGGAAAATTTGCGCCTTTGCTATGTTTTCGGGGAAAAACAGTTGTTATACTGCGCTATCATTAAATAGTGTCGCGTGTTTGTACTCTTAACCTAATTTAACAACGATACCGTTGATTCTGTTTGACCAACAACCAAACTCACGTGTTCGTGAACGCATCAATAGCCAGCTGATATTTGTCACAGTGACCTTATGTTCTGATAACCCTACTAATGAACCAAGTTCGGATTCCTACTTAGTACTTTAGAATTTTGCGATAGTACAAGGACATTGATAATAAGATTTGGTGGCCAAATAACGGCCCTGACTTACACTTCTTTCATCACATACTTAGAGTGAAAAACAATGATAATAACAAGGGCTTTTTAGTAATATAATTAGGCATAGTTATTAATGATGTCAGTATCTGTATTTAGTTACACATCATACCCAGACCCGGATTGATAAATTGTGGATCACATAAAGTGTTGATCTGTTGAATCGAATTCGCGACTTGTTGCATGACCGCCCAGTTACCCAGTCATCGCGTCAACCATGCAGTCAAAGAGTAAAGTCCACATTTTTAAAACAATCCTTCCAATCTCTCCTCAATCCCCAAATCTCCAAATCCCTAATCCCTAAAAGGTCGGCAACGCACTCGTAAATCCTCCGTTGCGGGTGTCCATGGGCGGCGCTGATTGCTTACCATCAGGTAATCCGTCTACTCGTTTGCCGACCAATTACATAAAAAAACAATACCCTTAATTTTTATTTGGTACATTTTCACCCTTTGTTGTTACGTAAATATCTGCAGCAGATTTATTTTTGTCACACAATTTATGAATATGGTCTATAAATTAATAATTAAATGTTGTTAAGTCTATAAATAGGTTAACTATCGTTCTTGTCAGTGTAATAGCCTTCTTTTATACCTAGATGTAGGACATCCAAGTCTTAAGGAAAGTGGTGATATTAAAATAAAATGTAATAAGAAGACCTTCGCAAGATTCTAGTAAGAGTTTTCCGCATAGGAGTTTTTTACAAAAACAATCGATTATTATATAATTGACGACAAAAATGAAAAACAATGTCTTTAGTATTAAGTTGAGAGAGATTTGTTACATTACATTTTTTACCACTTTCACAACACGAAGTAAGTATTCGATAGACTTATGTTGTTTAAATAGATTACGTT